CTTAGTGGTAGTTAGGGCACAATTCCTCCCCCCAGAATTTTATGCGGGATAGATTTCGAATGACGCATACCGCACCACTAGTTGCCATATTTGAGAAGTACCAGGAGAGCTGTTTTGAAGTTCAGCTGGTTTGGAGTGCTTGAGGCGAGGGCTACATAACGTTCACTTACGCTTTTTTTCGCGTTTGTGTGTATGTGGTCTCTCCTGTTTTTCTATTAGTGGTCGAGTAATGCCCGAAGGCGTAGATTTCTTCCTGCAAAAACTGAAGGAACTCGTATGTTTAGCTTTGGGAATAAACTTCGGCTTTTCAAATATTCATAAACGATCGAATTCGGCAAATTTAATCTCTCAGCAATCTCAAGAGTTAGTATCGATTAATGTCTTTATTATATCTTCATCAACGCAGTGCATCTTCAGGTTTTTTAGTCGAAATTTCACAAGTAAGTTTTAACACTCGTGTACTGTCAATACATCTTCTTCATACACATCAGATAAGATTTTTTGTTTTGAACAGCAGTTTCATCTTTTCGATATTAAAAAATAAAATATACCAGAAAATGATGCTTTTCAGTTTTAATATTTGTAAGGGAACCAACCAAATATTACTGTGTTGAATCAATCGAACTTTTTCACAAGTAAACCCTCCTATATCAGCTTTCAAATTATATAATGATTATACGACTTAGGTGCGGAATTGGCTGCGAAAAAAATGCAAATAGGTATTCTGTTTGGGAAAGAAAAAACGAAATAATTTTCCAAACGACCTAATTGATAAGTTGTGCAAAGGAGAACAGTTAAAACAGAGCGAAACGTAATCATCCTATTGGATTTAGATTTTAGATAAAAAATAATAATCATTAATTGAAGAATTTTATTTTAAACTTATTATCTTTCTATTGATGTTGGGAAAAACAGCTAGAAAAATGCTATACTAGCTTTTTGTATACAAATTTTCTTTAAGCGGTTAATATTTTTGAAACTTGCTCAATTCGCGAAAATAACTCCCGCTGATTATCTATATAGCGCAAACAAATTAGGGCAAACTTAACATCTTTCACCAAATTTTTACGTATTTTCACGCAATAAAATTTCCAAGAAAAATTTATAGATTGCTTAAAAGAGAAAAGTTACTTGTGCGAAAAGTTAAAAAGCATATTTACCTCTTTTGACTTAGATTTTTAAAAAAAAAATATTAATAAATTTAATTGATAAAATAAAAATTTATAGATTTAAATTAAAAGAAATGAAGATGAATATTTTACTTTTTGAAATAACTATCTTGTTAAAGAAGTTGTACAAAATGGGTTAGAAAATAATATACTAGCTCAGTGTGTTTTTTTTTTAAACTTTTTTCGAGCTGCAAGAATTTTTGAACTCTTCGCGGCGATTATTCTTATAGTTTTAACAAATTAGTGGTGGTGGTAAGTTTGATTACTTATTCATTTATTTATATTTTTTTCTGCCTTAGTAAAATTTCGAAGTAACATTATTGTGCCATGGTAGTTTATTGGATAGAGAGTTCGCCTTCCAATGAGGAGAATCGAGTACGAATCCCCAGCGATGGCTAGTCAATATGAATTCCACCCCGACTTGCACCGACATCAGTGCTGACGCAAAATTTCCTCAGTGGCAGACAGATCATTTGTTAGATTCCCTTTGCCGTCAGGCTGACCGTGGGAGTAGGTTTTCGTGGTTTTCCTCTCCATGCAAAAGCGGGTTAGTTCCGTCACAAAAGTCCTGCACGAAGTCAAATTTTCCCCCAATACTTGATTCAGGAGTTCCCTTGTCCTCTGGATTAGGTTCAAAATTACAAAACTATAGAGTTGAACATTAGTAGTCGTATATTCAAAATTGACAGAATGTAAAAAGCAGCAGAATGTAAAAAAAACGGCAGCTTTTTAAGGGTTAAAATGACTGAATTTAGTTTGCGCAATAAAATGTACTCTTTTTCGACACATTGCGCACAGGAACGGAAAATTAACAACAAAAACTTTTTTTTAGAATGAAAGTAATAACTATAACTTTTTTCTTTTTAAAATTTATGAAAGTTCGTTATAATCTATAAGAAATATTAAAGATATTTTTTTTCTGAATGTGACGTGGTTGACGCATAAGCTTCAAAGTAGAAAAAGATACCTCTTTCTCAGCCCGTTTAGGAAAAATACGATCCTTTACTATACTTTTCAGCTGTCCTATATTTATACAGCTTTCAGACCTTGGCTATTTTGTTATTGAACTCTTTACACGAAAAGCAAATATCACAAATTTCTCCTTTTCTTATCTTTGACTGACTCTTATTTTCTTATCTTTTCTTTATTTAGTAATTTTATGAGTCCCATTTTGTGCTTAAATTAATCCTTTATTTACCAACTTAATTTTATCCCATGATGCGAGCACGGAGTCACGACAAATGCTTATTTGCTTTAGAACTAAATGGTCATTTACAATTCCATACAATATTAATTTTATAAATACCGCATACGTTTTATTGAAGTAGATACTACATAACGATGAATACGAATATCTTGGGGTTTTTTTTCCAAATAAATGTTTATAGGGAAATAATTTTTTCTGCCACCTTTATTTTTCTGAAAATACGAAAATGTTACTTTGAACACACCATAAGTAAAGCAAGGCTGGCCAATTTCTGCGCTTTTTTTCAAAAATTATTCTAGTGGTACCTAAGTATAAATATTAATGTGTTATTTGTTATTCATTTGAATGAATTTTCTAAACCACTATGTATAAAAGAATTAGAAATTTATAAACAACGCCACTTTGTTTCTAGCTTTTTCGAAGTGAGGCTTTTAAAATGTTAGCGAAATTATCCTATTTCATGACGCTAAATATTAATAACTTTTTATGAATTAAAGCTTCATAAAAAATTTTAACTCTTTTAACACGTTCAAGCAGGGAAAAGTGAAAATACTGGTAGAAGAACTATTTCAATATTAGATAATATTCGGGAGGAGTTAATCTATTCTCAACAATAACAATTCACTGTGAGGAAATTTATCACGGCGAAGAAGCAATTCAATATAAAAATTGCACCCTTTAAAAAACAATTGGTAGTTATGAATTTTTATTATTCCCGGAAAAAAACTAAAAAATGAAATTTATTGTTACCAGTTTTTACAGCGGTGCTCTGCCAAGATGAGACAATCTAGCGTGACCCACCGGTGGGTCACCCCGGCGAGAACGTGTTAATGTTCAAGACTCTCAGCTTCTTATCTTTTTTCCCATCTATTAATTCCTTAATATTATCTCTTTAGTGGTTTTTTTTATCTCATATACTTTTAGAAGATAGACCAGCAATATATTAACTAAAAAATACCACCAGGTATGTAAAAAAATCTTATAAATTAAAAAATAATTATACCTGGTCAATAAATGTGATATCAACAATAACCTTCCAAACATAATAAAGCGTTTAATTTTGTTTCAATTATTAATTTGTAAACACAACCTATGATGTTGATATTGAATATAAATTTTATAACTTTGTTTACAGCCATATTATTTTGTTTCTAAAGCTTGTAATTACATCTTTGCATTGTGCTGTTCAAGTTATAGAAATACTTTATCGATGTTATGTAACAATCTTGAAGAGTTAATTATGTAATAAAATGTAATTATGTTAAAATGTAACATCAAACTCTACTCACATCAATTTTAATTTCATTATTTTATTTTAGCAAAAAAAGAGCTGTTGTAAACAGAACTATAAACGCTGATATAATTTCAAATCAAAATATATTATGGTCGAAAATTGATTTCAGTAATAAAATGAATGAAAAGCATGGCATACGAACATTTCATTTTGGCCTGAGATCAAACTGTTCACTTAAGAAAATCGTAAATCTTGAAAAAGATTGTTTAGAAAAAAATGTATAGAGCTTAAAATACTCATTTAAAAAATGAACATAGCTATTTAAAAAACTTAATATGAACGCATACTACTACTATTAACCCTTTGGGGACGGGTGATTCAGAAAAGCATTCGTACAAAATCAGAATCAAGTTGCAATTAAATAAAACCAGACTTAAAAGCCA